CTCTCTCTCTCTTGATTGTTTACTGGCTGTGTATTTGTTGCTGCTTGTTGTGTTCTTCCCTCAAGTGATGAGGTAAAAAAGTTATGCTGAAAGTGCAATAGTTTAATAAAAGGGATTTTAAAAACCAAAAAAACCTCTTGTCTCCTCTCCTCTCTCACCCAGTGGTTTCCTTGTTTCCTCTGCAGGAGTACCATGCTCAGGTGGAGGAGATGACGGTTTCTATCCGTCAGCTGGAGGAGGACCTGTCAGCTGCTCGTCGTCGTAGCGACCTGTACGAGTCTGAGCTGAAAGAGTCTCGTCAGTCCAGTGAGGATCTGAAGAGGAAGGCAGCCGAATACCAGCTGAGGATGCAGAAGGTCTGTAAAGGACCCTGAAGGCATCATGGAAACAGGGGTGGTCTGTAAAGGACCCTGAAGGCATCATGGAAACAGGGGTGGTCTGTAAAGGACCCTGAAGGCATCATGGAAACAGGGGTGGTCTGTAAAGGACCCTGAAGGCATCATGGAAACAGGGGTGGTCTGTAAAGGACCCTGACGGCATCATTCATTCGATAACCCTGGGCTGTCATTCGTTAGCTGTGGGGTTTCATTTGTTAATCTTGGGGGGGGGGTTTCCTGAGACTGTGGGGTTCCTTTGGGAGTTTGACTTTGTCCGATATACAGTAGGGTCTAAGGACAGCGGGGGTCATATTTGTATTCTGAATCAACTGTAAAGCCCCCTGATACAAATTGTATCAATAGAAGTTGATTGCGTAGCGCTAAAGCGCTAAAGCTCCCCTTTAAACATTATGACCTCCATAAATTAATATATAGTTTATAAGAGCTTTTAGAAGAAAGTAAAAGTTTTAAGACACATAGAGACTGACCTTAACCCGAGCAGCCTCACACGGGGGTCCTCAGCAACACGCACACCAAACAGGAAGTAGAACGGTCCTAGAGATATGATGCTGACAGACGTGAAGTTATTATGAAGTGTCTCCATGATCCCCACTACAGTGTCTCACATCTCCACAGGTCAAAGAGCAAGGCAAAGCAGACGCAGAGGAGCAGGTCGGCAAGTTGGAGAAGGTAGACATTTAAATCCATTATATAACCTTTACTGAGATAACACAAATAATCTATCTATTAATCCAGCCATCCTTTCCATCTATTTTGCCAATTGATTTGTTGTTAAATTACATTTTCATGCAATAATTGTCTTTTAACTAATGGAGGTTTACTGCTTTCCTCAATTTTCTTTGTCATAGACAGAACAAATCGATATCTTTTGGTTATGTACGGATGTTTCAAGACGTTACTTTGGAAGTTGAGGCGCTGAGATGCACATCTGTCACTACTTTCTTACATGTTATATAACTCACTATTCAACTATTAATCTAATAACGGGCAGATTAATGGACAATGAAAACAGTTATTAGTTGCATCACTATCCAATCAATTGTATCAGTGTTTCCCACAGATCTGAAATCTACTTGTGGTGGTATCCGAGAACGGGGGGGGGGGGTTACTGCAGTACAGTTAATCGATCGCAGATAGCGTCGTGGTCGCGAAATATACTTTGGCGGACGTTAATATACAAGTGAAGTCTATGTGTGGGAAACCCTGATGATTCTGTGATTGATGAGGATGTCTAGATAACGACGCTGACGAGTTAAAGTATGTTTTAACAGAGGATAATAAACTTGAATATGAATCTTCACTCATCACAAGGACTGCTTCTGTTTTTCAGACCAACGCTGAGCAGCAGAGCAAGATCCAGGAGCTTCAAGAGAAACACACCAAGGTCTGGGAACATTCATGAATGATCCATACGAGCTGATGCTCCCTGTAACTGCATTTTAACCCTCCAGATGTCTGCCTCCTCTTTGCCCTCGCTGACCCCATTCATAAATCATGGGCTTTGTCTTATCCTTTCTGCCTCGTTATCAGCACCCAGATGACTTCATGCTAAATGTCTTCTTTCTAAAAATGAATATTTAAAATAACATTATTTAAAACTTTCTGCTGAGAGAAAATTACGTTGTGATGCTGAGAATAATTATAATAAGTAATAATACATTTTATTTAGAGGCCCCTTTCAAGGACAAGGATCAAATATTCTGGTTATAGCAAATACAAATACAACTAATGAAAAGACAGTATCACATAAAAGATTCTCTCTCTTTTTGATCCATTTCTATAAAAACCTGTTTGAAAATGAGCTGATCAGATTTTGGCCACTTTATGATGTCATAACGATGTTTTGTCTTGTGTAACCATTAGCCAATCAGCAACCAAGGTAACCCCCCCCCCCCCCCCCTTATCACCTGACTCTCCTCCTAGAGCTCCATTGTGTTCTTTGTAACCAAATGTCTCTCAGAGGGGCGTGGGGAGGGGCTCCTTATTTTCATCTAAAGTAACAGACAGAGAATCAGCACTTTTGAAACAGGGCTGAAACAGAGGGGATTATGGGTAATGCTGCAATGATCTGTTTGGTGTTTCAGCCAATCAGAGACAGGCTCTGTATATATCTGAGACCTGTAATATATTGATGAAGAAGAGGATGATAGAGGACCTTTAAAGTAAAAGTGTGGAGCTTTTTTAGTGATGTTTTCTCCGTTACCCCGCAGTCATTGAAGGCCAGCGCGGAGGCCTCAGATCTGCTGCAGAGCTTCAGAGCGGCTAAAGAGCGAAGTGAGAGAGAACTGGACAGACTTCAGAACAGAGAGGAGAACAGTGACAGTCTGAGGAGACGCCTCCGAGACACTGAGGTACACACACACACACACACACACACACACACACACACACACACACACACACACACACACACACACACACACACACACACACACACACACACACACACACACACACACCATGTATACATCACTTCAGGGGACATTACATTGACTTACATGCATTTCCTGGAGACTTATCCTAACCTTAACCATAACCAACACATGCCTAACCCTAACCCTTACCCTTAACCTTACCCTTAACCTAACCAAGTCTTCACCCTAAAATTAATGATTCCCCTCATGGGGACCTCCAATTTGTCCCCATAAGGGAAGCCAGTCCCCACACGTGACTATGTAAACAGATTTAGGTCCCCACAAGTATAGTAATGCTAGACCCCACACACACACACACACACACACACACACACACACACACACACACATACCATGTATACATCACTTCAGGGGACATTACATTGACTTACATGCATTTCCTGGAGACTTATCCTAACCTTAACCATAACCAACACATGCCTAACCCTAACCCTTAACCCTTAACCTTAACCTAACCAAGTCTTCACCCTAAAATTAATGATTCCCCTTATGGGGACCTCCAATTTGTCCCCATAAGGCAGGGGTGCCCAACCTTTTTTGAACCGAGAGCTACTTTTAAAGTTGCCAGTCTGCCGAGATCTACCAGTCCAAATAGAGAGACGTAGCCTTTACTGACAGCCTACTACCAGGTAAATACACACTTCTACTTGTATAAAACTGATCTTCGTACGATTAATACTCCATAAAATACTGCAGATCCTTTATCTTACCTCTTTCTAATCTACACACATACAAGTATTTAACTGAAGTTACACAACAGTGTTGTTGATACAGAGTTGGAGTTTATTCACACGTCACTACAGTGGGTAATGTTTTCAAGAAACATTGAACAGTGCTGCCACATATGACACAGGGAAACAAGAACTCTTTCTTTGCCATTATATAAAAATAGTGTTGCTACAAAAGTATAAATTAGGCTTACTAATAAGACAACTCAGATCTGAAGCTACAGGAATCTGCTGCCAAAGTGCAATAAAAAAGACAACATTAATAGAATCAAACCCATTTTTATGCATTTTAGTAGATTATAAAAAGAAATGCCTTTAAAATAGGATGCAAGCAACACTAGTTTCTTAACCTGAATTGATAATAGATTATAATCAATTTAAGTTTGCATTCTTATACCATTTTGTACAATAATTATAATGAATAAGTTCAAACAAACTAAAACTCACAGCTGATTAATAACGGTATCTAACTTGAGTTTTGATCAAAAACCTGTTGAAATGCTACTGTTATTTTTACTGTCCCCCAAAAGCGTGTCGGCAGCCTCCAGGAATGCTTCTTTCACAACTTCGCCGTCTTTGAAAGACTTCATGTGTTTCGCAAGAACGTGACTGACACGATGACTGACATGATGCACTGTTTTGAAATGCCGCTCCTAAATTACCCTTCTTCGATAAAGCCACGCTCGCATTGCAGATGAGACAGATGGACTTTGAATTGGAATAGATACAAAAATAATCATCCTCCCACTCGGAGTGAAAATTATATATTTTGGGCTTTTTTGCTTCTGCCATAATTGTGTGTGTGCGGACTGTCACTCCTGTTGACACGGACAATGTCAGCGAAATAGTGCACTGCCCACCAGCCACGCCCCCACACATGGGGTCACGCCGGCCAATCACAAAGCTTTGATGCGTTCAAGTGCATTATTCTGGCACAGGAAGATTATGTTACAGGACATTAACGATAAAACAGAATATTGTTGTTCTATTTTTAGACACATCTCGCGATCGACTGGGAATCTCCCCGCGATCGACCGGTCGATCGCGATCGACTGGTTGGGCACCCCTGCCATAAGGGAAGCCAGTCCCCACACGTAACTATGTAAACAGATTTAGGTCCCCACAAGTATAGTAATGCTAGGCCACACACACACACACACACACACACACACACACACACACACACACACACACACACACACACACACACACACACACACACACACACACACACACACAAAGTCGGTACTTGAGTAAATCTACTTCCTTCCTACCTCTGGATTTTAGACATGATTTTAAAGAAGTGTCTAATTCGGCAGAGCCTTATTTCCTAAGTAAACAAGCTCAATGTATTTTCAGTGCTGCTAACTTCTGACTCATGACCTCTCTCTTACCATTTGTTCTGCACAGCCCAAAATGTGTCTCACCTCAGACTTTAGGGTCTGCGTTTAGAAAGGAATAAACACGGGGAATTGGCACGAACCCGATCTGAGGGAATTTTGAGAAATCAAAGCTCCACTCTTCAACATCACAGCGCTCTTAGCTTAAAGTGATGCATGCATTCATGTGTGTCTGAGTATCTGCTCGGCACATATGTCCTCTTGTAAACATGTTGTTGTTTTTGCACCTTCTGATCAACACTTGTGCTGTGACTGCATGAGAGCATGTCAGAGAGCGTGACACGAGGAGCAGGTCCTCCCAAGGTTTCTGTGTTCACTGGTTTGTGAAGCTGTCCGTGTTTTGTGTTAGGGACGATTACAAATGACATTATTGTGCTTCTGAAACAAACAAAATAACGTCTTAGGCTCACGAGAAACGAAGCAGCCTTTCTGCAAAACACTTTTCTTTTGCACAAAACTCACCAAAGGTCTTATTGTGTGTTTATCTTATTTAGTTAATATGTTGGTGATGCTGTGTTGGTGTGGTTTCGTATGGAGTGTTAACTATTATTTTAATTAATTAATTAAAAAAATTGTGTTCTTATTTGTTTTTATTTTTGTGTTTTTATTTCTTCATTTGTTTTAATTAGTATTTATTTATTTCATTTTTTTAAATGTATTTGTATTTGTATTATTATTATTTCATTTATTTATTATTAACTTTTAGAGTTGCCCAAAAGTCACTTTCAAAAACGTTTCACCCAACAGACAAAGATGCAGTACATTTGAAAAAATACAAAGAAAATCTACAACAACAAGTTTTATTATAACTATTATTATTATTATTGTTATTATTATTATTGTTGTTATTATTATTATGATTATTATTATATATTATGAATTTCATGTGCTTAGTTCAGCCCCCTGAAGACGAGGTGGACTGCGTCTCAAAGGGTTTATCCTCTAATAAAATGTTAAAATAAATGTGTGAGGTATCGAACACAGAAAGGCGGTTATTAATATTATTGTTGTTGTTGTTGTGTTATGAAGCTAATCAGTCTGCATGTGGCATTTCACTAATTGAGTGTCTCAGTAATGACTGTGACCCAGCTGCTGTCATTCCGACACAAACTGCTCGTCTATAGGCTCTGAAACCAGTGGGTGAACTAACATCTAGATATAACCTAAAGAACAAATCCATAGCTGTGTGAAGGACTCTATATGTGGTTACTTTATTAGGATGTATTTGTTAATGTAATGTTAATTGTATTTGACATCACTATGTAACACTAATGGTGTCACTTTGTTAAAGAAGTAAACAAAGGACTCCTTAGGCACTATGAATAATACTTAATAAAAATAAAACAATAATCATAAAACATTACCAAACGTTATTCAGCGTCTTGTGTGTTGATTTTATAATAGTTCTTCAGTTTATTTAAAGCAAACAATGACCACTAGACTATAATTACCTGATGCATCATAACAGTGATTATAATTGAATGTAAAAGATTATAATGTAGAATGAGAATTTCATTACACTACGATCCTTAAAACGGTAGACATGTTCATATGAAGTATGCATTTATGCAGCGTTACGTAACACAGTGTAATGAATTTTTTAGGTGAGTGGTTATGAGTTCTCGTTGCACTTCACATCAGCAGAAGACATGTAAATGTGGTGATTAGCATAGCTTAATGTGCACAGAGAGGATACATCTTCACATTCAGACGGCTCCAAAGACCTCTCACATGGATTGAAGAGGGTTCCTTAGAGCCATTGTGACTGTGAGGAAGTCAGAGTAATGAGAAACAAACATGGCGGAGGATGGATGCAGCTGCCGCAGAACAAACCTCCAGGCTAATTAGCATCTGAACCAAATGAACTATGAGGCTGCATTTTTCTAAATGTAAGAACTCAAAGTCATGCCAGGGATGGAAGAAGTACTCAGATCCTTTACTTAAGTTAACGTAGTAATACCACAGTGTCAAAGTACATTATGAGTTTAAGATGTAACCTAGGTAAAGGTCCAGAAGTGATATGACAAAATGCATATTGAAAGTCCATTAGCTATAGATGGCCATCATTATATTGTGTGTGTGTGTGTGTGTGTGTGTGTGTGTGTGTGTGTGTGTGTGTGTGTGTGTGTGTGTGTGTGTGTGTGTGTGTGTGTGTGTGTGTGTGTGTGTGTGTGTGTGTGTGTGTGTGTGTGTGTGTGTGTGTGTGTGTGTGTGTGTGTGTGTGTGTGTGTGTGTGTGTGTGTGTGTGTGTGTGTATTACTTCCTGTGTGCAGGATGGCAGGAAGACTCTGGAGAACCAGGTGAAGCGGCTGGAGATGGTGGAGCGTCGGGAGATTAAACTGAAGGAGGAGATCCAGAGCAAAGCGCAGCAGATTCAGCAGATGGCGGAGAAGATTCTGGTAACCCACCTTTCAAAAATAAAATCATTCAGAGGAGGTGTGAGATAAACACAGCTCATCACTGCAGAGGACGCGCTGTTTTACATAATAATCCTGATTATTCACCGTCTGTAAGGAAGGGGGTTGTTATCTCTGTTCTCTAATAATACACCTGATACTCAAACAGTGACAAAGACAAGGGACTGGGCTGAGTCGGAGTGGTGAAAACAATCAGGTGCTTTGTGTTTTACTAACCACTTCTTTATCAACCTGAGTGAAATAGGGGATGGGGTTAAGGAAAGAGGTGAAGAAGGATTCATCAGGACTTAGGATAAGGGACAACACTGATACTGGGAGATGTCCGACTCCTTATTATGAAAGGAGGATGTTACTGATCAAAAGTCTCCTACCAACCAAATAACACTTTTACTCTCCGCAAATACCACCTGAACAAACAAAATAACGCTTTAACTCTCCCAAAATACCACCTTAACTCTCCGAATATACCACCTTAACTCTCCGAATATACCACCTTAACTCTCCGAAAATACCACCTTAACTCTCCGAAAATACCACCTTAACAAACCAAATAATATAATATATAATAGCGCCAATATAATAATAATAATAATCCTTATATTTATTATAGCGCTTTATCAATGACTCTCAAAGCGCTTTACAAATACACATTACATATACAGATCATACATACATGTAACGGTACGTCCACACAGCAGCTTTTCAAAAATCTTGAAAATCTTGGCGCTGGGCGTGTCTGAAAGTTTGGGGATTTCGCGACCAACAACCAATCACATGAATCTCCCGCCCCCGACATACAAAGCAAAAAACCCCGGTTCTTCTCCACTATTTCTTTTTTTAACATTTTGAACATTTATGAGATTAATGTCTATGGTGCTATTTTATGCTACATTCCATGCTGGCTAATGATACTGTCTATGCTTGCTAGCAGCAAAGTAAACTAGCAACGAAGTAAACTAGCAACGAAGTAAACTAGCAACGAAGTAAACTAGCAACGAAGTAAACTAGCAACGAAGTAAACTAGCAACGAAGTAAACTGGATATAAAATCCCCAAACAAGCGAAAACCTACCAGTTTCACCCACTGTCTCTGCCACCTCCCTCCATGCCTGGTTCCTCCGGTTTGTATCCCGGTAAGTAAATAGGGACTGGTCATAAAGAACCGTGTGATTTGCTACCGCAATAACTAAGTTCTCCTCCATTTTTGTTAGGAATATAGAATGAACTGTGGTCTGGCTCTCCCAGCTTGCACGCGGTTTGATTGGCTAGGGCTTGAACTGTCAGATTTGCATAAACGGATCTGATTGGCTGTCGCTTCCAGCTCAGCCTCAAAAGTTGAACATTGTTCAACTTTGGAATCCTGAACATCCTGGAAATCCTGGAAATCTTCGCCTCGCCCCCCCCACAATGCAGTTCGGCGACAAGCGAGGGAAAGTGACGTCATCCCCATTCAAAGTCAATGGGCGGGGACGCGCTGGAAGCGGTGGACAAATCGCCAAAAGCTGCTGTGTGTACGGGCCGTAATGGTCATCTACTGTGGACAATACCCACAGGAGCAAATTCGGGTGAAGTGTCTTGCCCCTATACCACCTTAACCAACCAAATACCACGTTTACTCTCGAAAATACCACCTTAACTGTCCAAAATGCTACCTTAAAGGGGACCTATCATGCAAAATGCACTATTTGATGTCTTTTATACATCAATATGTGTTCCCGGTGTGTCGGGGAACTCACGCAGCGTCAGAAAATAAAACCCTCTCTCTTTTCCTCCGTACCCTAAATCTCTAAAAACGGGGGAACAACGGAGCTGATCCAGATTTGCGTCCGATATGACGTAATATCTGAAATGTGGACCCACGGCCCAATCAGAAACGTTGCTATCAGAAACAATGCCCGACTGTTTTGGACGTAATATGGTCGGTGTTTACATTAGCATCGCTAACACTCAGAGCTAACCTGTACTGGAGAGCATGTGTGTGAAGAAGCAGGAAGTAAAAAGGAACTCACCTTGTGGTATAACCGGCAAGAGAGAAAGCCTTTGAGCTCCAAACTGTTTCAGAGAGAATCCTTGATGATCCATGATATGGCATTTCATCACTGCAGACAGTATCTGCCGGTAGAGTCTCCCGCATGAGCAGGCATACTGTAAGCTCAGCCCCTCTTTTTCATCAATTTTTAAAATCTTTATACATAAAATCAGCACTTTTGAAACAGGAAGTGAAATAGAGGGATATTTTGAGCAAAACACTTCATAGACATGTTTTTTATATATTTTTATATATCTGAGACCTATGCTATTGCCTAAAAATAGCATGATAGGTGACCTTTAACCAACTAAATAACCCTTAACTTCTACAAGATACTACCTTAACCAACCACATATTACATTAACGCTCCAAAATACTTCCTTAACCCTCCAAAATACCACCTTATCCAACCAAATAACACTTTAACTTTCCAAAATACCACCTTAACCAACCAAGTAATACATTAACTCTCCAAAATAATAATAATAATAATACATGACATTTATATAGCGCTTTTCCTGGTGCTCAACCCACCTTAATTGTTCAAAAATACCACCATAAATACCAATTAATACCACAACTCTCTAAAATACCACCTTAACTCTCCAAAACACCACCTTAATCAACCAAATAAAAACGTAACTCTCCAAAATACCACCTTAACCAACCAAATAAAAACGTAACTCTCCAAAATACCACCTTAACTCTCAGAAAATACCACCTTAACCAACCAAGTAAAAACTTAACTCTCCAAAATACCACCTTAACTCTCAGAAAATACCACCTTAACCAACCAAGTAATACCTTAACTCTCCAAAATACCACCTTAACTCTCAGAAAATACCATCTTAACCAACCAAGTAATACCTTAACTCTCCAAAATACCACCTTAACTCTCAGAAAATACCACCTTAACCAACCAAGTAATACCTTAACTCTCCAAAATACCACCTTAACTCTCAGAAAATACCACCTTAACCAACCAAGTAATACCTTAACTCTCCAAAATACCACCTTAACTCTCAGAAAATACCACCTTAACCAACCAAGTAATACCTTAACTCTCCAAAATACCACCTTAACTCTCAGAAAATACCACCTTAACCAACCAAGTAATACCTTAACTCTCCAAAATACCACCTTAACTCTCAGAAAATACCACCTTAACCAACCAAATAACACCTTAACTCTCCAAAATACCATCTTAACTCTCAGAAAATACCACCTTAACCAACCAAGTAATACCTTAACTTTCCAAAATACCACCTTAACTCTCAGAAAATACCACCTTAACCAACCAAGTAATACCTTAACTTTCCAAAATACCACATTAACTCTCAGAAAATACCACCTTAACCAACCAAATAACACTTTAAGTATCCAAAATAGCTAAGTTACTGTCCAAACTACCACTTTAACCAACCAAATAATACCTTAACTCTCTAAATACCACCTTAACTGTATCAATGAATGTATTACTGTCTTCTACTCTCTGAAATCCCCTTTGATTTAAGTGATATAAAAACCTTTAATAACTGTATTTCTTTAAGACACCATGAGGCACATTACCAGCAGGAACTGATTGTGATTAAGTGTTCTCTGATTCAGGAGCGGTCCTTTAATGATATAATGTTTTATTCATTAACCTTACTAAACTTTTATCTGCTTTAATAAAGTCTTGAGCTTTTGAAATGTGCTTTATTTGAACTCTTATGTTTCATGGTTGAATTTGAATGTACTCACTTGATGGTGTTTCATCTACACAATCACTCAGGTAAACCAAACATATTAAACATTGTCAATTAAACAACCCTAACCCTAAATGAGAAAGCTAAACAGTAAATATTTTTCTGCGAAAATCTGATAATTTGGTCAGAAATTGCATTAATTGCTGTTTTATTGAAAATATTTGTAATGATATAAACATTTATAAAAGTTATTTTGTAGGTTCACTCTTCATCATCTACATGGATTGTAAATAATCACGCAAACACACATTATTTTAGTTTTCTGCGTTTGGTATCGTTTTTCTTATTTTACTTAAATGAGTTAGTATATCTAATCTTTAAGATGTTGCAGATAGAAATGTAAATTGTATGTGAAGTGTATTAGTTTTAACGCACGTGTATGATATATGTTGCGATATCATGTGTGAAATCTGTTCGGCCCCAAGCCTGTTTTTCAGGTCTCAGGCTCGAAAATGACATTCCCAGAACAAATGACCATATCTTCCCTTCTAAAAGGGTTAAATTAATAATCTTTTTTCTCAAAGTAATGATAAACCTGTGAGTTGGATGTAGAAAAGTCAGAATCAATATAGATGTTTTTTATTTTAAAGAAAATTCAGATTGAACATGGTAAAAAACTGTAAATTATAGTGTCCGTCCAAAACATATTTTGTACTTATAGTGAAAACTAACCTTAGATGATGGGTTAGTAGACTAAAAGCTGTAGGAATCCAAAGTACAACATATAATAAGTACCCTGTATCAAGATTGATGCAAAACAAGTGATATTTGACCTTTTTAGACAGATTTAGCAAAATAACCCTCTTCTGGGGTCATTTGGGTGGATTTTTCATATCTCTGGCCCCGCTTGCTGGATTTTGACAAGTGACATCTCTTCCTGACCGATTTAGAGCCTATAGAATCGAAGGGGAATCGTCCCGCACACACTCATGTTAAAAAAAAGCTGGCGTCTCTGCGCATGCAATCTTGTTGCAGAGTGTAGGAATATCCCTGCTCTGATTTCTGGAAACGGAAAAGCAGTTTTATTGCTTATGGATTATCAGAACATTTCAAAGGGGACACAGTCACATTGGATTAACCTATGGATTAACTACACCATCGTTTTAATGCCATTGAAGACCAGTTTTGACCAGACAAAGACCAAGGTAAACCATGTTAGCGTTTTGGGCTACCTAGCGCCACTTGTTTTGATGTAGGTTTTTGTTATTTTCTTTTGTTTGTATCTTTCAGTGTTGAGGTGGGGACCATTAGATTCTGTGTCTCCTTACGATCATACACGATGTGTTGATTGTGCAGCTAGGATAAGTAATAAGGGTGCTAGGAGTGAAAAACATCAGTTAAATTAGTTTTTTCCGTTATATGGATATAAAACATTCATAGTTTATTAAATATGAAGGTTCCTTAGACGTTGTTTCCTGCAAATTACGCGATTTCGGGCCCGGATACGGGTCCGTGGGGCTTAAGAGGTTGCTATTGAATTGTATGTGCTGTATGTTGTGTTGACTGCAGATGGAAATGAGCGAACTGTTATACAAAGCATCTTATCGAGATTTATGTTATTTTTGTACATGGTCCCTGACAACTAAACCAATAAACTAATCAAAAATTATTTGGAAATTAGCGAGCACTAAATAGTTTAATCCAAACAAGGTGATGTTAACGGTTTAATTGGCAACTGAATTTATATTAGTATTATTCTTTACTTCAAGAGTCAGGAAAATGTTTGTGATAAGTGGTTTCATTTTACTCTGGAAAAGCTGTAGGAACTAGAGCAGTGGTTCCCAACCTGGAACCACTGCTCTAGGGTTAGAGGGTTAGGGTTAGGTAACCCCTTGGGGGGGCGCCAAAGATCGCAGGGGGGGTGCCAGGCCTCAGATGATTTGAGGCCAAATATCATATTTAGATTTTTTTTTTAACATATAATTGTAACGCAATACATGATTGTCACTAAAAAGCCTTGTGTCAAAATTACAATAAAATTTAAAAAATAAGTGAAATTTATTCATTTGAATAACAATTCAAGTTAGTATTAAAGGCATAAAAATACAGACATGTATAATTTTTTCTAGAAATGTTTCTTCTGCCCGTAAAGTTTCCAAACCGGGCTTGTCTGGATAAGCGCATTTTTAAAACATGTCGTTGTCCATGCCGGTTTCAGTTGGATTATTTGTCACAGTTGCTCCGATCAGATCGGTCTCCTCCATTTTGTAGATTATTTACGACTTTTGAATCCACATAAACACATCGGCAAAATCCGGCTTACTTTGAGCATGTGTTTTAAACAGTTTAATCCCTTTGTGAATTGGTTCCACTTCCGTGCCGTCCTTTAATTTCTTCCTTCAGCGGGAATCCAAATGAATGAATCCTGAGTCCAATAACCATCAAAGTCACTCCAATAGTGCTCCTTGATTACGCTTTCATCCTCCTTTAACAAAATACTTCACATTCATCCAGTTTGTGACAGTAGTTGTAGCTTTTTTGAGACTTTTAAACTGGAATTAACGCTGATGCCCCCCCCTTGTGTGTGTGTGTGTGTGCGTGGGGGAGCGCAACTTCCAACAGGAGTCATTTGGGGGGGCTCTTGGGAAAAAAGGTTGGGAACCCCTGAACTAGAGGATATTGAACCAAAAGCAGTACCTGAATATGTATCTGTAATCGGATAAAAGAGTAGAGCAGATTTTGTATTTGTATGACCTTATTCTCATTTAAATTGGTGTGTGTTTGTGTAGGTGCTGGAGGAGAATCTGCGAGAGACTCAGGGCACCTCGCAGCGTTTAGAGACTCATCTGAAGCAGAAGGAGAAGCTGTATGAAGACAAGATAAAGGTGACATCTCCACATAAATACATATCCACAGACGTAAGGAGACAAGTGTGCAGTGCTCTGTGCTATTTGTCTAGCAATATGTCGAGAAAGTGTAGCACACATTATTATATATTATATCAGGGAGTAACAGCAGTTTTTTCGATGCTTCGAGGGGTGTCAAACTCAATTTCGTCGTGCGCCACATCAGCATTATGGTTGCACTCTAAGGGCCGGTTGTAACTTTAAGACTATATAAAAATACATATATAAATATTTAATATATATAAAATAATGTATTATATGACATTATTGCCTCTGCATTGGATTATTATGGGATAGGGGAATAACTTCATAATTAACTACGTCTGAAAGCAGAAGTAAATGCAAGTCTCTTCAGTGAGAATGTCACAAAATGATTTTAAGCCACATTCTGAAGAAAAAAAGAAGTGACATTTTGAAAAAAAAGTTAAATTCTAAGAAAAAAGGCGTATTTGAGATGCATTGTGGGACATGTAGTTTATGGGCAACGTGCTTCTGTAAATCGGCCTGTAACCGTATAATAAACATATTATATTCTTTGCAAGCTCTTGTGGGGCCACATGAAATGAAGTCACGGACCGGATTTGGCCCCCGGGCCTTGAGTTTGACCCCCCTGCTTTAGCTTAATGTCAGAAAGTTGTCCGACGTTATTCCAATAATTGAGAAATCATGATATAATGAAGTTAAAAACCCTCTGATTTCTCTCACCAGTTGGTCATGCATGTCTGTATAACAACACCGCACCTGTGTTTGTTTTTATCTCCTCGCAAATTACAAATTAATACTAGCATTCAAATGTATAATTATCCATAGGTTTGTATTGTGATTAATACAATTCAGCACTAGGAATAGATATTTAACCAACGCCGTAAATCTTAACTCCAAACGAGGACACCTTTCATGATAAATTCAGCTGAAATCACTTACGAGCACTTTGTCTGTTCAGCCTATTTTAAATACACTTAGGTTGGCATTATTTTCACATCATGACGGTAGATTTTTAAACCCACTGCCTGTGTTTTTAAAAAAAAAATGGTTTTATTGTTCTGTTTTTAATTAAGATGTCCAGTACTGTATGTTGCATGTTTTTATTTGATTGTATTTACTTGTTTAAAGTGAAATCTGTCTTTAGGTTGACTTGCAAAATCTGTCCAGGGACTTCAGATGAAAGCAGATCTGGTGATGAATGTGCACTGTCCCTGGCTAACAGACTCACTGCTTTAGTGCAGTGCTTCCTTTGAAACATTTTCTCAGCCGAGTACCCCCCGACCGACCCCGAACATCTTTGATAGAAAAAGCCTATAAACATAATTACAATATAGTGATGTTCCATCAGTGTGTGATTTATTAACTCCTTCATGCATGCATTACAACAAACTAAGGATTGTTTCGTCTTTGTGCATGAACACATACATAACGAGTTTTCCAAGGAGTTTTTCAATTGAAGTAATATAACAAAATGATATATTATGAGAAACTATAAAATACAATACACACATTTGACATGTTTATATGAGGACCCCCTTGGTGGTTTTAGAAATATTTGATATACAATTGTGTTTTCTATTTCACTTATTGTACTAAGATTATTTTTGTAATCATGCATGGTATTTTTTTAATTAAACTTTTACATTACATGTCACTTGTTAGACGCTTTTATCCAAAGCGACTTACACACTCAATACTGTGGGCAATCCCCACAGGAGCAATTTGGGGTGAATTGTCTCAGGGACACAACGACATGCTGACTGCAGTGGGGTTTGAACCTGATCCGAACACCAACGCACAATCCACTGCGCCACACGCCTCCCTTTTATTTATTTATTTATCTCACGTACCCCCTGCAGTACCCCAACGTACCCATAGGGGTCCGCGTACCCCCATTTGAGAATCACTGGTTTCGAAGGTCATATCAGCGCTGCTGTAGTAGAGTGTGTGTGTGTGTCCTCTTCATGCTGCTCTCCGTGCTGTTAAGTGACTTCCTGGTTCTGTGGTCCTGAGCAGGTGTTGGAGGTCCAGATGAAAGCGGACATGGCCGATAAGGAGATGCTGGAGTCGAGTCAGAGCAAGTTTGAGGAGGAGGTGAGCGACAAGTGCAGCGTCATCAGCGACCAGAAGGCGGTAAGAACTGAGACTATCAACATTTATCACACTGACACACACTCCTGCAGAGATGGAAGAATAGAAATACTTTGGTCTTAGAATACTCCCTAACAAGTACACATCTGAATTCAAAATGTAACTTAAGTAGAAATACAGAAGTATCATCAGATAAATGCACCTAGTCCGAGAGTAACAAAAGTAAAAGTACACTTTGTGCAGAATGGCTCTTTTAGAGGAGTTTTATTATTACAGGATATTTATTAAACAGATACTTCAGTTTTTAAAGTTGTTATTCGTCAATGTCGAGCAAATGTTGGATACTTTATGTACTACCAAGTACACTATTAGTATATATGTATCAGAAAAAGTACATTATTTCCCTCTTAGATGCAGTGGAGAAGGCAGAACATGAAAGTAAATAAATAAAGTGCAATTACCTGAAATTACTTCCTCAAAACCTTAACCTGAGTAAAATTAGAAATGGTCTTAGAATACTTCATTACTCCGAACTACGTAAGTAGATGTAGTATCAGCTAAATGTACTTCAAATATAAAAATTAAAATACTTAAGTTTAAATAAAAACATTTTAAATACTGTGTTGATTTTTAGGACAGTACTACGTTCTATCAGATAAGTATATCATGTGTTTTTATATGTAAGACGTAGCTAGTAACTATTAGTGTCAAATCAATGTAGTGGAGTAAAAGTACAACACTTTTATTTGCCTCCAAAATCGAGTGGTATGAAGTATGTGTAGCATAAAATGGAAAAAGGAACCCCACTGGATCTTTTATTGTAGATCACAGAATCATGAGCCTCGCTGTGAACATAATGAAAGCCTGTGATGTGATCTTTCTTGATGCTTCTTTGAGGATTTGATGATCTGTGTGCAGACCATCAATGCGATGGACTCTAAGATGAACAGTCTGGAGCAGAGGATCTCCGAGCTCTCTGAGGCCAACAAGCTGGCAGCCAACAGCAGCATCTACACCCAGAAAAACATGTAAGTCCTGCAAGTACGACTGCAACGATTAGACAGCAAAAATAAATATCCAACTATTGTGATCATCTGTTAATCGCTGAAGTAATGTTTCATGCAAACATGTCAGTAAATGGAGTTTTCAACCGTTGAAAGCTGGAAAGTTCCAGTATTTAAGCGCCATTTATTGTCATTTTTGCATGAGTTGTAGCTTAGATCATTAAGATGCACAAGAAAAACATTAAAAAGTAATAACCCTGAAGTAGTAGGAGTGAAATTAGTTGAATAGAGTGGTGCAGGAACGAGTCCTAAAACCCGGAGGTGAGTTAGCATTTTACCACTTCCTGTTCCCTCGTGTCAGAGCCAATGGGATCTCTCCATAGGATTTTGGAAAATATCTCGAAATAAGAGCCTGTTTGATAAATGCACGTTTTGTTCCTAATCTCCACATGTCTACCAGACACACTGGAATACTCTTCCAGTTGAACTTAAAACCTGTACTGATTTTAACTCGTTTTCTTATGGTGCAAACAAACGATATTAAGCAACCAGTCATGCCAACATTAATTACACTGTAATCTGAGTTTTTTTTATTTGAACTGTATTGTCATACTATATCTTAGATATTTGATTTAAGTGTATTTGAAGTGTACTAAGTGTTATGTTCGTAACCTGAATTTAAATCAGGCTTTGTAATTATTTGAGTGACCGAGATCATGTAAGTGTATTTCAAGTGTACTATGTATTAATTTATTGAGCTGTACTTAAATCAGGTTTTAAAATGGTTTGACTGATAGAGATCATGCAATGTTATTATTTGTTTATTGATTGTTATGAACCTGTCTGAGGACCACAGATGGAAATGAGCTATTAGCTATAATCTGGCATCTCTTCTCTTTGCTGAGATTAATGTTTTTTATGTGCATGGTCCTTCTATAAATAAATACAAATACTTTTATAATTTTCTAATCATAAAACGAATGGCCAGAAGCAAAATGCTAACGTCATGCTATAAAGGAATTACAGCAGCACGACTTCAACGTCAACTTAAGATCCATATTCAAACATACAGATTGTAAATGGTACGAGTTGAAGCGTTTGTTTGAACAGTCTGCAGGAGGCAGGGACTTGCTTTCAAGCAGAACACGGCAAACTAACTTAGAGGAGTGTTTACGTGTTCGGCGTAATGACGTACAACGGCCTCCACAACTTCTGTATTCCTATTCAGCCACTTGGTAACAACCATCGTTTTTCAGACACGTGAACTCTTCAGAAATCTCCAGTGGGGTCACTGCTGATGGATTTAATGTCGTAGAACAAAACGTGATCTGTCTCTTCAATGTGTCTCAACCACAGACCTTATTCCAGCTTTCCAAAATCCTATGGAGAGATCCCATTGGCTCTGAGACGAGGGAACAGGAAGTGGTGAAACGCTGACTCAGTTCAGGGTGTTAGGACTCGTCACTGCACCGCTCTATGAACATTAGCTGCAGTCCTAACCGAAACATTTAAATAAAAGCAATGAAAACCCATTTCTCTAGATCTCGTTTTAGGACAATGACATTTGGGTGGTTAGCTTTTGTGTGACTATTCTAATAAAACATTAGCTTATACAGTCATTATTTGTATAATATTCACATTCAATTTCAATTCAAAGGTGTTATCATCATATGCACAAAGCTACAGGGTAGAAATGGCAATGAAATTCTTCTGACCTGAGCTCCTCCAACAACGCAACATATATAATAAAATAGTGCAATAAGTCTTTACACATGTCAATAGAAAATGATATGTACAAGAACGGAATGTAAAATTAAATAATGTACATTAAGACCAAATTAAATACGGTTTATTGCGGTGATAACTATTTATATAAATAAGTCAATTGCAAGATGACAAACAGATGCATGTTTATCGGAGCTCAGGTGTTTAGCAGTCTTATATAAGATCATGGGCAAGATATAGGTTCAAGGTTTAAGATAAGATAAGCTTTATTTACCCCGAAGGAAATTGTTGTGCCAGGGTTACAAAAATACAATAAACACAGCAGCATAATGATACAACTGTACACTAACAGTGCAGCAAAAAGAGCAATTAAATAACTACAGGAAACATAGACGGTCACATAATTAATGTAAATATTAACAGTATTTAGTAGTGCAAACAACATAGTGGCAGATACGTAATTGCACGTTATTATAGAGCATTGTGCAAAATGCCACCTAGTTGTTTGTCCTTTGAGAGCGTGAACGACTCCCAGCACGACCCCAGGTTGCTTTGCCTCGTGTCGAAGTGTTTGCACACCAGTCTGTGTGGTTTCGGCAGGAAAGCGCAGGAGGAGATGATCTCGGAGCTCCGGCAGCAGAAGTTCTACCTGGAGTCTCAGGCCGGGAAGCTGGAGGCGCAGAACGCTAAGCTGGAGGAACATCTGGAGAAGATGAGTCAGCAGGAACAGAGCAACAAGAGCCGAGTCATGGAGCAGGAGACCAGGCTCAGAGAGGTGAGGGGGGAGAAACTGCTGAGTCATGTCTGTGAGGGGGGAGAAACTGCTGAGTCATGTCTGTGAGGGGGGAGAAACTGCTGAGTCAAGTCTGTGAGGGGGGAGAAACTGCTGAGTCATGTCTGTGAGGGGGAGAAAATGCTGAGTCATGTCTGTGAGGGGGAGAAACTGCTGAGTCATGTCTGTGAGGGGGAGAAACTGCTGAGTCAAGTCTGTGAGGGGGAGAAACTGCTGAGTCATGTCTGTGAGGGGGGAGAAACTGCTGAGTCATGTCTGTGAGGGGGAGAAACTGCTGAGTCATGTCTGTGAGGGGGGAGAAACTGCTGAGTCATGTCTGTGAGGGGGAGAAACTGCTGAGTCATGTCTGTGAGGGGGGAGAAACTGCTGAGTCAAGTCTGGGAGGGGGAGAAACTGCTGAGTCATGTCTGTGAGGGGGAGAAACTGCTGAGTCATGTCTGTGAGGGGGAGAAAATGCTGAGTCATGTCTGTGAGGGGGAGAAACTGCTGAGTCATGTCTGTGAGGGGGGAGAAACTGCTGAGTCATGTCTGTGAGGAACTGCTGAGTCATGTCTGTGAGGGGGGAGAAACTGCTGAGTCAAGTCTGTGAGGGGGGAGAAACTGCTGAGTCAAGTCTGTGAGGGGGAGAAACTGCTGAGTCAAGTCTGTGAGGGGGGAGAAACTGCTGAGTCAAGTCTGTGAGGGGGAGAAACTGCTAAGTCAAGTCTGTGAGGGGGAGAAACTGCTGAGTCATGTCTGTGAGGGGGAGAAACTGCTGAGTCAAGTCTGTGAGGGGGGAGAAACTGCTGAGTCTGTCTGTGAGGGGGGAGAAACTGCTGAGTCATGTCTGTGAGGGGGAGAAACTGCTGAGTTATGTCTGTGAGGGGGAGAAACTGCTGAGTCATGTCTGTGAGGGGGGAGAAACTGCTGAGTCATGTCTGTGAGGGGGGAGAAACTGCTGAGTCATGTCTGTGAGGGGAGAAACTGCTGAGTTATGTCTGTGAGGGGTGAGAAACTGCTGAGTTATGTCTGTGAGGGGGGAGAAACTGCTGAGTATCATGTCTGTGAGGGGGGAGAAACTGCTGAGTCATGTCTGTGAGGGGGAGAAACTGCTGAGTCAAGTCTGTGAGGGGGGAGAAACTGCTGAGTTATGTCTGTGAGGGGGAGAAACTGCTGAGTTATGTCTGTGAGGGGGGAGAAACTGCTGAGTCATGTCTGTGAGGGGGGAGAAACTGCCGAGGTCATGTCTGTGAGGGGGGAGAAACTGCCGAGTCATGTCTGTGAGGGGGGAGAAACTGCCGAGTCATGTCTGTGAGGGGGGGAGAAACTGCCGAGTTATGTCTGTGAGGGGGAGAAACTGCTGAGTTATGTCTGTGAGGGGGAGAAACTGCTGGAGTTATGTCTGAGGGGAGAAACTGCCGGAGTTATGTTAGTGAGGGGGAGAAGAAACTGCTGAGTTATGGTCTGTGAGGGGGGGAGAAACTGCTGAGTTATGTCTGTGGGGGGAGAAACTGCGGAGTTATGTCTGTGAGGGGGAGAAACTGCTGAGTTATGTCTGTGAGGGGGGAGAAACTGCTGAGTTATGTCTGTGAGGGGGGAGAAACTGCTGAGTCAAGTCTGTGAGGGGGAGAAACTGCTGAGTCATGTCTGTGAGGGGGAGAAACGGCTGAGTCAAGTCTGTGAGGGGGAGAAACTGCTGAGTCAAGTCTGTGAGGGGGGGAGAAACTGCTGAGTCAGTCTGTGAGGGGGAGAAACTGCTTGAATCATGTCTGTGAGTGGGAGAAACTGCTGAGTCCAAGTCTGTGAGGGGGAGAAACTGCTGAGTCAAGTCTGTGAGGGGGGAGAAACTGCTGAGTCATGTCTGTGAGGGGGAGAAACTGCTGAGTCAAGTCTGTGAGGGGGAGAAACTGCTGAGTCAAGTCTGTGAGGGGGGAGAAAACGAAACTGCTGAGTCAAGTCTGTGAGGGGGGAGAAACTGCTGAGTCATGTCTGTGAGGGGGAGAAACTGCTGAATCATGTCTGTGAGGGGGGAGAAACTGCTGAGTCAAGTCTGTGAGGGGGGAGAAACTGCTGAGTCATGTCTGTGAGGGGGGATAAACTGCTGAGTCATGTCTGTGAGGGGGGAGAAACTGCTGAGTTATGTCTGTGAGGGGGGAAGAAAACTGCTGAGTCAAGTCTGTGGAGGGGGGAGAAACTGCTGAGTCATGTCCTGTGAGGGGGAGAACTGCTGAGTCATGTCTGTGAGGGGGGATAAACTGCTGAGTCATGTCTGTGAGGGGGGAGAAACTGCTGAGTCATGTCTGTGAGGGGGGAGAAACTGCTGAGTCATGTCTGTGAGGGGGGAGAAACTGCTGAGTCATGTCTGCTAAAAGAGGGATGGACATAGGCTCTTCGACCTGAGTTTAACACATACATTTTTAGATAAGCTTTAAATTAGCAATATCCCCCTTTTAATTAGTAATTTTATTTGTATTATTTTTTTAAAAGTTGTATGTCTTGCTTTATTATTTGTTTACTTTCTTTCATATTTAACCACGTTTAAAGTGCTGAGTCATGTCTGCTAAAAGAGTGATGGAGCATATTAGATATTAGTTGGTTTTATTAGATATTAGTTGGTTTTATTAGATATTAGTTGGTTTTATTAGGTATTAGTTGGTTTTATTAGGTATTAGTTGGTTTTATTAGGTATTAGTTGGTTTTATTAGATATTAGTTGGTTTTATTAGGTATTAGTTGGTTTTATTAGGTATTAGTTGGTTTTATTAGATATTAGTTGGTTTTATTAGGTATTAGTTGGTTTTATTAGGTATTAGTTGGTTTTATTAGGTATTAGTTGGTTTTATTAGACATTAGTTGGTTTTATTAGACATTAGTTGGTTTTATTAGGTATTAGTTGGTTTTATTAGGTATTAGTTGGTTTTATTAGATATTAGTTGGTTTTATTAGATATTAGTTGGTTTTATTAGGTATTAGTTGGTTTTATTAGACATTAGTTGGTTTTATTAGACATTAGTTGGTTTTATTAGACATTAGTTGGTTTTATTAGATATTAGTTGGTTTTATTAGATATTAGTTGGTTTTATTAGATATTAGTTGGTTTTATTAGACATTAGTTGGTTTTATTAGACATTAGTTGGTTTTATTAGATATTAGTTGGTTTTATTAGATATTAGTTGGTTTTATTAGACATTAGTTGGTTTTATTAGATAATAGTTGGTTTTATTAGACATTAGTTGGTTCTATTAGACATTAGTTGGTTTTATTAGATATTAGTTGGTTTTATTAGATATTAGTTGGTTTTATTAGATATTAGTTGGTTTTATTAGATATTAGTTGGTTTTATTAGGTATTAGTTGGTTTTATTAGACATTAGTTGGTTTTATTAGGCATTAGTTGGTTTTATTAGGCATTAGTTGGTTTTATTAGATATTAGTTGGTTTTATTAGATATTAGTTGGTTTTATTAGGTATTAGTTGGTTTTATTAGACATTAGTTGGTTTTATTAGGCATTAGTTGGTTTTATTAGGCATTAGTTGGTTTTATTAGATATTAGTTGGTTTTATTAGATAATAGTTGGTTTTATTAGATATTAGTTGGTTTTATTAGATATTAGTTGGTTTTATTAGATATTAGTTGGTTTTATTAGACATTAGTTGGTTTTATTAGGTATTAGTTGGTTTTATTAGATATTAGATGGTTTTATTAGACATTAGTTGGTTTTATTAGATAATAGTTGGTTTTATAATATTCATTATTAATATTAATTGTATTATTATTATATTTTCTTTCTTTTACAGTTTTTTATATTTTTGGGTATTTTCTCATGTCTTGCATTTTATAATTTGCCATTGGAAATACCTGTAAATAAGATGCCCAAAAAGCATCATAATAGCCCTTTTTATATAAATCGCAGAGTAAGGTGGCGAGTGATGTTGGTTTATTAACACACCCAATTTGCAAAAGTGACCTCAGGTAAAGCAGGCTGAGTATCCCTGCTTTGAGGGTACTGTTTTGTTTGTACTGGTATACATTTTATTTTGAAGATACTCAGCTCTAGCAACTGGTAGTGATCAACAAACGTATTGACTCATTGCATATATGTCTTATCTTAGAGTTACTGGAGGCGTACAAATCCCCAAAACGTCCATATTTTAATTCCGATGTTACCAAAAAGCTGCTCAACCTGTCCAACCAGAGTCAGGGTTTACTGTCCGTGTGGATTAACCCTTCCTCACCCCCTTTCTCTCCCTCTCAGCTGGGTCTGGAGCACGAGGAGCAGAAGCTGGAGATAAAGCGCCAGGCGTCAGATCTGAGTCTGTCTCTGCAGGAGCGAGAGTCTCAGATCAGCAACCTGCAGGCGGCTCGGCTGGCTCTGGAGAACCAGCTGCAGCAGGCCAGGTCTGAACTGGAGGACACGACCGCTGAGGCAGAGGAGGAGATCACCGTGCTCAGGGTGAGGAAGAGGAGGGGGGGAGGAAGAGGAGTACTGAAGCAGGGTTTCAAGATGTTATTATGTCAGACAAATGGGAGAAATTCTGGTCAAATATTATCCGTGTTTGTTCTTGAGCTTTAAAACAATTAGAGAGGGCAAAGTGCACACGTCCTTTACTCAAGTAGAAGTACAGATACTCGTGTTTAAAAATACTCTGGTAGAAGTACTGACTAAGCTTCTTTACTCAAGTGAAAGTAAAGAGGCTTTGAAATGTACTTCAGTAAAAAGTACCCATAACTAGCAGCTGTTTTAAAGAGTACCTGACCTCCCTTTATATTAATAGAACAATAATGTCATTGTTAGCTAATGAATGTTTCCATGCTGAACAACGGCAACATGACAACGTTTCCATTGGTCCCTCTTCTTTAGAGAAGACCAGGAAATGATGGATACACGGATCGTGTTCAAATCAATAGGCACGCAATGACTCTAAATAATAATGATCACGCATCAAACACACATTCAGACTAAAGGAACCAGCTGTTTGGAAAATGAGAGAAGTAGAAAGTACAGGTATTTGAGTTCAACATGTAAGAAGTAGAAAGTACAGGTATTTGAGTTCAACATGTAAGAAGTAGAAAGTACAGGTATTTGAGTTCAACATGTAAGAAGTAGAAAGTACAGGTATTTGAGTTCAACATGTAAGAAGTAGAAAGTACAGGTATTTGAGTTCAACATGTAAGAAGTAGAAAGTACAGGTATTTGGGTTCAACGTGTAAGAAGTAGAAAGTACAGGTATTTGAGTTCAACATGTAAGAAGTAGAAAGTACTGGTATTTGAGTTCAACATGTAAGAAGTAGAAAGTACAGGTATTTGGGTTCAACGTGTAAGAAGTAGAAAGTACAGGTATTTGGGTTCAACATGTAAGAAGTAGAAAGTACAGGTATTTGAGTTCAACATGTGAGAAGTAGAAAGTACAGGTATTTGAGTTCAACATGTAAGAAGTAGAAAGTACAGGTATTTGTGTTCAACATGTAAGAAGTAGAAAGTACAGGTATTTGAGTTCAACATGTAAGAAGTAGAAAGTACAGGTATTTGAGTTCAACATGTAAGAAGTAGAAAGTACAGGTATTTGAGTTCAACATGTAAGAAGTAGAAAGTACAGGTATTTGAGTTCAAAGTGTAAGAAGTAGAAAGTACAGGTATTTGAGTTCAACATGTAAGAAGTAGAAAGTACAGGTATTTGTGTTCAACATGTAAGAAGTAGAAAGTACAGGTATTTGAGTTCAACATGTAAGAAGTAGAAAGTACAGGTATTTGAGTTTAACATGTAATAAGTAGAAAGTACAGGTATTTGAGTTCAACATGTAAGAAGTAGAAAGTACAGGTATTTGAGTTTAACATGTAAGAAGTAGAAAGTACAGGTATTTGAGTTCAACATGTAAGAAGTAGAAAGTACAGGTATTTGAGTTCAACATGTGAGAAGTAGAAAGTACAGGTATTTGAGTTCAACATGTGAGAAGTAGAAAGTACAGGTATTTGAGTTCAACATGTGAGAAGTAGAAAGTACAAGTATTTGAGTTCAACATGTAAGAAGTAGAAAGTACAGGTATTTGAGTTCAACATGTAAGAAGTAGAAAGTACAGGTATTTGAGTTTAACATGTAAGAAGTAGAAAGTACAGGTATTTGAGTTCAACATGTAAGAAGTAGAAAGTACAGGTATTTGTGTTCAACATGTGAGAAGTAGAAAGTACAGGTATTTGAGTTCAACATGTAAGAAGTAGAAAGTACAGGTATTTGAGTTCAACATGTAAGAAGTAGAAAGTACAGGTATTTGTGTTCAACATGTAAGAAGTAGAAAGTACAGGTATTTGAGTTCAACATGTAAGAAGTAGAAAGTACAGGTATTTGTGTTCAACATGTAAGAAGTAGAAAGTACAGGTATTTGTGTTCAACATGTAAGAAGTAGAAAGTACAGGTATTTGTGTTCAACATGTGAGAAGTAGAAAGTACAGGTATTTGTGTTCAACATGTAAGAAGTAGAAAGTACAGGTATTTGAGTTCAACATGTAAGAAGTAGAAAGTACAGGTATTTGTGTTCAACATGTAAGAAGTAGAAAGTACAGGTATTTGAGTTCAACATGTAAGAAGTAGAAAGTACAAGTATTTGAGTTCAACATGTGAGAAGTAGAAAGTACAGGTATTTGTGTTCAACATGTAAGAAGTAAAAAGTACAGGTATTTGTGTTCAACATGTAAGAAGTAGAAAGTACAGGTATTTGAGTTCAACATGTAAGAAGTAGAAAGTACAGGTATTTGAGTTCAACATGTAAGAAGTAGAAAGTACAGGTATTTGAGTTCAACATGTAAGAAGTAGAAAGTACAGGTATTTGTGTTCAACATGTAAGAAGTAGAAAGTACAGGTATTTGAGTTCAACATGTAAGAAGTAGAAAGTACAGGTATTTGTGTTCAACATGTGAGAAGTAGAAAGTACAGGTATTTGGGTTCAACATGTAAGAAGTAGAAAGTACAGGTATTTGTGTTCAACATGTAAGAAGTAGAAAGTACAGGTATTTGTGTTCAACATGTAAGAAGTAGAAAGTACAGGTATTTGAGTTTAACATGTAAGAAGTAGAAAGTACAGGTATTTGGGTTCAACATGTAAGAAGTAGAAAGTACAGGTATTTGAGTTCAACATGTAAGAAGTAGAAAGTACAGGTATTTGAGTTCAACATGTAAGAAGTAGAAAGTACAGGTATTTGAGTTCAACATGTAAGAAGTAGAAAGTACAGGTATTTGGGTTCAACATGTAAGAAGTAGAAAGTACAGGTATTTGAGTTCAACATGTAAGAAGTAGAAAGTACAGGTATTTGTGTTCAACATGTAAGAAGTAGAAAGTACAGGTATTTGTGTTCAACGTGTAAGAAGTAGAAAGTACAGGTATTTGTGTTCAACATGTAAGAAGTAGAAAGTACAGGTATTTGAGTTCAACATGTAAGAAGTAGAAAGTACAGGTATTTGAGTTCAACATGTAAGAAGTAGAAAGTACAGGTATTTGTGTTCAACATGTAAGAAGTAGAAAGTACAGGTATTTGTGTTCAACGTGTAAGAAGTAGAAAGTACAGGTATTTGTGTTCAACATGTAAGAAGTAGAAAGTACAGGTATTTGAGTTCAACATGAAAGAAGTAGAAAGTACAGGTATTTGGGTTCAACATGTAAGAAGTAGAAAGTACAGGTATTTGAGTTCAACATGTAAGAAGTAGAAAGTACAGGTATTTGAGTTCAACATGTAAGAAGTAGAAAGTACAGGTATTTGAGTTCAACATGTAAGAAGTAGAAAGTACAGGTATTTGGGTTCAACATGTAAGAAGTAGAAAGTACAGGTATTTGAGTTCAACATGTAAGAAGTAGAAAGTACAGGTATTTGTGTTCAACATGTAAGAAGTAGAAAGTACAGGTATTTGTGTTCAACATGTAAGAAGTAGAAAGTACAGGTATTTGGGTTCAACATGTAAGAAGTCAAAGTAAAAAGTCGTCAGAAAAATAAGTAGTGGAGTAAAGTACTGACACCAGAAAAATGTACTTAAAGGTGGGGTAGGTAATTTTGGAGAAACCAGCTCGAGTGCGCTAGAATTTGAAAATACACAGCCGGAAAAGATCTGCCACTTCCTCACAGAGCCCCTCCTCCAACACACACGAACGCGCACATGACCAATGAGGGCACAAGATAAGTTAGCGCACAGATGGAAGGCTGACAGGCAGGTAGGCCATCCAGTTACTTTAGCCGGCTCAGATGATTGGTCGTGCTTTTTACAGTACTACAGATGACATCTTTTATGGATTTTTTGTCAAAGCACTTCAGATATTCATTGCTATCTGGATGTTAAGAGCATTCCATTGAATATAACAAAAAGTGTATCTCGAACCGGTTTCTCAAACGTACCTACCCCACCTTTAAGTAGGGATGGGTATCGTTAAGGTTTTAACGGTACTACTACTTATCGATAGCGCTTATCGGTCCGGTCTTTTAACGGTACTTTTATCGGTTCTTTTGGAGAAAAAAATAAGGTAAACTAACTAAACAAATTGTGAACAAAACTAACATTGCTTTTTATTTAAATTAAATACATAATATTTCACATCAAAAGAAACAACAGTGTTTTAACAAATCGTATTAAATAATCTGATGACAGAACTGTGAACAGAATAGATGAAACTTTAACAAAATAAATACCTCAGTTTCCTCTCATCATTAACCCATGTTTGTATCATGGAGTTAACTCTGTGTGTTGCTGCTAGCATACATAACACCTGACGTGGAAACGTTACTCGTGGATGGGGCTGCAGAGCTGCTAGAAAGACAGTCGAACCCGGTGCATTCCTCCGTCTGGATGTGGAGCACTTTTGATAAATGTTTAGACAAATTGCTCGTGTTACCGCCCTTACATGCTGAACTCTTATTGCACTTTAGGTAACGAGCATTGTCCACATCGACACGGGTAAAGTTTAACCACCTGGGAGCGCGTTCTCTCCGCCATCTCCTCTGTGTGTGTGTGTGTGTGTGTGTGTGTGTGTGTGTGTGTGTGTGTGTGTGTGTGTGTGTGTGTGTATGTATGTGTGTGTTGCTGCATGTAGCAGCTGCGTGTGTGTAAACTGCCCCGCCCCCTCGCAAGCAGGCGGGGGAGAGAGATCTCTCGCCTGGATTGGAAAGATCAAAAATACCACGTGAAGGGTCTGCTTCCTGCTGCGAGGCTCCGGTGAACAGTCCATGAGCGTGCTCACTAGCGCACCTCCCCCCCCCCCGTTTATAAAGTCAAGTACCCCTCAAAAGGTCCGGTTTATTTCATTTTAAGGATGCGCACCAAGCAACATCTCCAGGTGCTCCTTTGAGAACCAGGGCAAAAAGGTTATGTGCACCCCTGCTTATGTTATCCTCCACACTAGGCCTCTGAACATATTCAATTGATGATCATCACTTGCATTGATCTTTATTCAACAGTGAAACACCCATGATGTTTTCGGTCAGAATTGACTGCCATAGGAAATGAATGGGTATGAGTGTATTATGCTCATCCTGCAGATGGAAAACACCTCGATACACACACACACACACACACACACACACACACACACACACACACACACACACACACACACACACACACACACACACACACACACACACACACACACACACACACACACACACACACACACACACATATTTCTTGTCCTTATGTCCCCCCACACCTTCCAGACAAAACAATGTGCTTTAAGTTACGGGAACCTCTCACTTTCTCGCGCTGGATGATACAATGTATCATACCTTCTCACAGGTGCGAGCTCTGTGCCCCTTGAGAAAGAAAAACCTCTCAGTGTCTCGCAGTAAATGCGCCTCCCTTACTGGCTCTCATGCAGTTATATTTGTGCCTTGCTCACATTTGACTCATTGACACAATGAGTAGGCGACCGATTAGGCGATTTTCTGTCAGAGAGGCTCTGGACAAATGTTTTGAACCAGATGAAGAGGAGATTGAACCAGAGATAGAGGACGATGTCTCAGAAATGGAAGACAACAGCGATCCAGACTATGAGCCTGACCAACAGTCAACAGACCAGGAAGAGGCCCCTGAGGGAGAGGCCCCTGAGGGAGAGGCCCCTGAGGGAGAGGCCCCTGAGGGAGAGGCCCCTGAGGAAGAGTCCCCTGAGGGAGAGGCCCCTGAGGGAGAGGCCCCTGAGGAAGAGGCCCCTGAGGGAGAGGCCCCTGAGGAAGAGGCCCCTGTGGGAGAAGCCCCTGAGGAAGAGGCCCCTGAGGGAGAGGCCCCTGAGGGAGAGGCCCCTGAGGAAGAGTCTCCTGAGGGAGAAGAGCCCTGAATATTTATTTTTCTCTAAATGTTCATTGAGGAAAACAGTATCAGTCTTATTTTATATTCATTACAGTGAATGCAGTGAATGCTGAACTTGATGGGCCCACCAGTGGGTCCGGACCAAGTACACAATGAAACACTGACTTGCTTGTTTCAAATCAATACATCCCATACATCATTGGAACGGGAAGAATCTCAGCTACAACACTAACTAAAGCATTTCCATCTCCAGCCTACATGGCAAGCATTTTTATAATATACACTAATGTACAGTAAGCTTTACTTTGAACTTACTGCACAATTATAACATGAAATTCCCCCCTGGTGTCATTCTGTCTGTCACCCCTTGATTCTACTTGCTTTGACGGTTCAAATGAGATATCAACCATCAAAATTGGACAAGGGGTTCCAGAGATATCACTATGCAAAACACACCAGTCAATTTTGACCGAAAATAGTATGGGAAGGGGGGTATGACCTAACGCAAGATGGTTGGCATTTAAATTAAGCTTCTTCTTGTCCCTTTTGAACATCACGGAAACTATTTGGGAATCGTTTGAATTTTTTTTTTTGGTTCTCTTTGTTATTATTATTATTGTTTTTTTGTTTCTAACATTTTCAATAAATTGACTAATAATAATATTTATTTTTTTAAAGAAAAGTAGGATATTTCTAATAAAACAAGTCCCCTCAATAGATTTAAGAAAAGATGGATGGATAGATAAGCCTATATTAACCCCGTAAAGGAACTCCGGTGTCTTAGCAGAAACAGCAATAAGGGTGAAACATAGGATAGGACAGATATTGATTCGCTCAAGAACAATACAAAACAATTGAAAATAAAGTACTTTAAGAAATAATAAATGTTAAAAGACTTATCTATAACGCAAACAAACTAAATAAATATTACACAAGACTACGCCGTTACTCTAAACACAAAAGATATCCCTCAATTTGAGGACTTTGCATATTCTTTATACTGTATATAAAACATATTTAAAAACAAGCCAAAATCCTTGTAGGCTTGTCTGGATGATGATAAATGAAGCTCAGTGCAAGTTCTTTCAGGAAGACTGGGTACCCAGCAGCCAATCACCGTGCAGCAGCCAAACTTTAAAATGGTTCTCCTCTCTCCTGCAGTCAGCTGTGATTCCAGATGTTCATGCTGCCGCCCGCCTCCTCCCCATCCGCCTCCTCCCCATCCGCCTCCTCCCCATCCACCTCCTCCCCATCCGCCTCCTCCCCATCCGCCTCCTCCGCATCCACCTCCTTTCATCATATCCAGTGCCAGGAGAGCTAATCCAAAGACCTCATCACATCCCCTCTTCATCCCATCTCCTTTCATCCCATCCAGATCTTCAGCATCATCACCAGTGTCTAGACCCCGGGGGGTTCCCTAGATGCTCACGGCTGCATTTCCCCCTTTAGATATACGATTTCAGGATCGGGGTCTAATCGCCAAAGACTTAAAGGTCCCATGGCATGGCCATTTCTACTGATCATATTTCCATTGTTGAGGTCTAAAATAGATTTATACTGTTCAATGTTCCAAACTCACATTGGTTTCTCATACAGCATCTCTGTATAGCATGTGTATTCACTCTCTGTCCTAAACGGCTTGTTGGAGCTCCTGCCCCCCCCCCCCCCCCCCCTGTGAGCCCAGTGTGCTCTGATTGGTCGGGACGTTGCAAGGCTCGTTGCGAGGCTCGTTGCGAGGCTCGTTGCGAGGCTCGTTGCTGCTGCGAGCTGCTGCAAAGAGCGGACAGGTTTCCGGGTCGGCGATGCAGCGAGAACAAGCGAAACTCATCCTGAGCACACACACACACTCACAGCCGAAGTAAAAACAATAAGTGTGGCTTGATATTGAGAAAGAAAAAGGTTTGCAACGCTGTGAGAATGGGTCTGCGGAGACAATTTCTCCGCCATCCCAACTCGTCTATTACCAGCGTTCAGGGAGCTCTATGCAAGTCAATGGGACTCCCTGTTAGTTAGCCAAGGGATCCTGGTGTGTGAGGAGCTCCGAGGATTGGTCCATTTGGAAGTAAACAATGAAAAAAGATAAATCTCCAACGAGGCGTTCTGGGGCAGCACAGACAGGTCTTCTCTGTGTTAGAGTTTTACTCGCGACAGGGTGTACTTTGAGGGTTTGTGACTCTGCAGACCGTTTACATGCAGAAGCTTCATAACAACAAGGGGACGGGTAATAATCAGAAAAGCACGACATGGGACCTTTAACATTTATCATATGACATGTGTCAATAAATGTTCTTTAAACAAAAGGAAGTCTCTCCTGATTGAATTGAATGAAGGTGCCTCTGCCTTTTAATCAAGCACTGTTTTAAGTCTGTTCAGCAGTTCTGACTCGTCATACAGCCTGTTTCTACCTTTGGGTCCCTTAAGACATTTTATACAGCCTTTCTTTTATACACTTTTTCATTATTGATTTCTAATACTAGTGTTTCATGCTCTGACGTCAGATTTTAATGGACGACACGCCAGTGGAAGAACAATCCACTCAGCACTTTTATTATTAGTCACTTTAGGACTTTAAGATGTCATTTAAAGACACATTTCCATTCTCTGTAAACGTAATGGACAGTAAAGTCATCTGAAGGGACATTATGACTGTAACGACTTCAATGTGTTTGAGATTTTCCCGATCAAATACCGTCTTCTCAATTCAATTTAAATTCTATAGCTTTATTGCCATGACCATAGTTACATACAGTATTGCTAAAGCTCAATATCTAGACACAAATACATACATATAAACACACTGATATTATATGATATATATATAAGATATGTGAGATCTTCTCTCTGAGTGAAGGTGACGTCTCCTCGGCTGTTAACTCTTCTTCTCTCTTGTTGTTTCCTGCAGGCTCACAGAGACGAGATTCAACGCAAGTTTGACGTCTTGAGAGACAGCTGTGCGGTAAGCTGCTCTCTCTCTTTCCACTAACACACAGCTTCACTTTCTTCACACATCGTCACACATCCCAACCTAAAGCTGCCGCAATATCTCCGTCCATATGTGTGTCTGTCACTCCTGGGTAAATCAGGCTTCATTAGGACAATATGTATAATCATCATAATAATAATATATAAGTGACTTCCTGTGATTTTAGACTTCTTATTCCTTTTCATCCAGGATCATTTGTGGTCAAAGATAAGCACAGTATTATATTCTAAACTGTAGAGCCTATATTAGATATTGGTTTTTCGTAAAGAATATCATGAATGGGGGAAATTAAGTGATTTAATGTGACATTTTTAGATTTTCCTTTGGTGCTCTTTGTGGTTATCGTGTAATAAGTAGGACCATGGATCAGGGGCGGATTGGCACTCTGCGTTTGTTCTTGAGAATGACAGAATGGCCGGTAGTCCAGGGCATGCATGTAATTATGTGTTTTTCCTTTTGAACATCACCATTTAAGTTGCACACTTAGAGGCAACAGAGCTTAGCAAAAATGTGGTTGTTACTTCCCTAGTAAAGATATCTTTGATAGTATCATGAGTTCAGATTACTGCATTTCAGTGTGTAGTGCTGCCGGAGAAACTCCTGGACTTTTCTCTCTGCAGAAAAACATTATTTGCAGTTCACGTAAGCGGCCGTACACATGCTGCATATTGTACGTGATCAAGTCCACTGTTGTCAATACACACACATCTATTGGCACTACAGCTGTGCCCAAAACGTAACTTTTCCATGTCGGAAAGAGACTATATGACGCACCATGGTGACCGGACGTCTCCTTCAAGGTGGGGTAGGTCATTGTGGAGAAACCAGCTCGAGATCGCTAGAATTTGAAAATACACAGCCGGAACAAATCTGCCACTTCCTCACAGAGCCCCTCCTCCAACACACACGAACGCGCACATGACCAATGAGGGCACGAGATAAGTTTGTGCACAGATGGAAGGCTGACAGGCAGGTAGGCCATCCAGTTACTTTAGCCGGGCCGGCTCAGATGATTGGTCGAGCTTTTTACAGTACTGCGGCTTCCACAGATGATATTTGTATGGATTTGTTGTCAAAGCACTTCAGATATTCATTGAACAAAAAGTGTATCTCGAGCCGGTTTCTCAAACTTACCCCACCTTTCATCATAAAAGCAGAATCTGAAGTAATACCCGCGATGATGTGTGCAGAGTTTAGACTGCAGCTGTTTATCAGATCTGATGAAGGTAATCAGTGGCTGGCTGTGCGTAAACAACACTGCGCTCTATCACGTGGTATACGACACACTTTTGCTAGCTGCTATTTGCTTTTTAAATGTTCTTTAAGTGTAAAAAGTGTTTAGTGGTAGTTTGCGAATTAAAGCTGCAGGTTTTTTCCGGGATGTTCCACGGAGCGCTGGTGACGATTTTTTGTCATCAGTGTTTTTATTTCCTCAGTTAGCTTGGAGCCTCAGCTTAATTGGTACTAAAAATATAACAGGTACTATCTATAACCTTTCTTAACAAAGCAATGATTGAGAATCCAGTCGAGCTGGGTGAGAAATACTGTTCCAAATAGACTCTTTTTTTGTACCCAAGTAGCACTTCAATTCCCAATTGAATTGCTTTGTTTTCACAACACCATTTGTGCAAATTAACAACTCTGTGAGCGTTCATTGCCAACAGAAGCCCAGGAGGATCAGTGACAGGATTTGTTGACGTGCTTTTTGTTGTCTTGTACTCAACTTTAACTGTTTTTAATTAGATAGCAAAGCATCTCACAGTCCATCAAGTCCAATAAAATACAGTTTATTAAACAGTTAAAAGTAAATGTGTTGTTTAGTATCCCTTCAAATGTGTTTATTTTGCAATGAGAGCTGTGTTTAAGTATGTTTTAATCCCAAATGTTTTTCTAAGTAACTTTATTTTTGTTGCTACACAGGTAAGGTTCAAGCACACTGACATGTGTACAGTTTTCTCAGTCCCTAGACTATTCATACTGTAACTATTATTATATTATTATTAGTGCCCCACTAACCTTGAGGAGGTGATGTTGTCACGTTAAAGGAATTTGAGTTCCTTCAAACTCATTTACCTTGAATAGACATCATTATGGTCTTCATTTCTGCCAGTGTCCTACTTCTGAGATCCTCCCACTCACAAACTGTTCAGGAAGCTCTGTCCATGCATTCAGCTGGCCAACCATCTCTATAATCTGCACAGATAGAAATGAGTCTTTCTATTTCTGCCCTGCTGCAAAGATGTTGCTGTGTTGGTTCATCCGTTAGTCTGTCTGTTGACAGAAAGACAGCCGGTCTGCAGCAAGGGCCAACGAGGACATATCCTACTCACTTTAAAGAGTCCTCTCCTGCTGATGTTCAGGTGTATATCAGTATGTAGTGTCTCTACTTTAAAGAGTCCTCTCCTGCTGATGTTCAGGTGTATATCAGTATGTAGTGTCTCTACTTTAAAGAGTCCTCTCCTGCTGATGTTCAGGTGTATATTAGTATGTAGTGTATCTACTTTAAAGAGTCCTCTCCTGCTGATGTCCAGGTGTATATCAGTATGTAGTGTCTCTACTTTAAAGAGTCCTCTCCTGTTGATGTTCAGGTGTATATCAGTATGTAGTGTCTCTACTTTAAAGAGTCCTCTCCTGCTGATGTTCAGGTGTATATCAGTATGTAGTGTCTCTACTTTAAAGAGTCCTCTCCTGCTGATGTTCAGGTGTATATCAGTATGTAGTGTCTCTACTTTAAAGAGTCCTCTCCTGCTGATGTTCAGGTGTAATCAGTATGTAGTGTCTCTACTTTAAAGAGTCCTCTCCTGCTGATGTTCAGGTGTATATCAGTATGTAGTGTCTCTACTTTAAAGAGTCCTCTCCTGCTGATGTTCAGGTGTATATCAGTATGTAGTGTCTCTACTTTAAAGAGTCCTCTCCTGCTGATGTTCAGGTGTATATCGTATGTAGTGTCTCTACTTTAAAGAGTCCTCTCCTGCTGATGTTCAGGTGTATATCAGTATGTAGTGTCTCTACTTTAAAGAGTCCTCTCCTGCTGATGTTCAGGTGTATATCAGTATGTAGTTGTCTCTACTTTAAAGAGTCCTCTCCTGCTGATGTTCAGGTGTATATCAGTATGTAGTGTCTCTACTTTAAAGAGTCCTCTCCTGCTGATGTTCAGGTGTATATCAGTATGTAGTGTCTCTACTTTAAAGAGTCCTCTCCTGATGATGTTCAGGTGTATATCAGTATGTAGTGTCTCTACTTTAAAGAGTCCTCTCCTGCTGATGTTCAGGGTGTATATCAGTATGTAGTGCCTCTACTTTAAAGAGTCCTCTCCTGCTGATGTTCAGGTGTATATCAGTATGTAGTGTCTCTACTTTAAAGAGTCCTCTCCTGCTGATGTTCAGGTGTATATCAGTATGTAGTGTCTCTACTTTAAAGAGTCCTCTCCTGCTGATGTTCAGGTGTATATCAGTATGTAGTTGTCTCTACTTTAAAGAGTCCTCTCCTGCTGATGTTCAGGTGTATATCAGTATGTAGTGTATCTACTTTAAAGAGTCCTCTCCTGCTGATGTTCCAGGTGTATATCAGTATGTAGTGTCTCTACTTTAAAGAGTCCTCTCCTGCTGATGTTCAGGTGTATATCAGTATGTAGTGTCTCTACTTTAAAGAGTCCTCTCCTGCTGATGTTCAGGTGTATATCAGTATGTAGTGTCTCTACTTTAAAGAGTCCTCTCCTGCTGATGTTCAGGTGTATATCAGTATGTAGTGTCCTCTACTTTAAGAGTCCTCTCCTGCTGATGTTCAGGTGTATATCAGTATGTAGTGTCTCTACTTTAAAGAGTCCTCTCCTGCTGCTTGTCAGGTGTATATCAGTATTAGTGTCTCTACTTAAAGAGTCCTCTCCTGCTGATGTTTCAGGTGTATATCAGTATGTAGTGTCTCTACTTTAAAGAGTCCTCTCCTGCTGATGTTCAGGTGTATATCCAGTATGTAGTAGTCTCTACTTTAAAGAGTCCTCTCCTGCTGATGTTAGGTGTATATCAGTATGTAGTGTCTCTACTTTAAAGAGTCCTCTCCTGCTGATGTTCAGGTTGTATATCAGTATGTTAGTGTCTCTACTTTAAAGAGTCCTCTCCTGCTGCTGTTCAGGTGTATATCAGTATGTAGTGTCTCTACTTTAAAGAGTCCTCTCCTGCTGATGTTCAGGTGTATATCAGTATGTAGTGTCTCTACTTAAAGAGTCCTCTCCTGCTGATGTTCAGGTGTATATCAGTATGTAGTAGTGTCTCTACTTTAAAGATGTCCTCTCCTGATGATGTTTAGGTGTATATCAGTATGTAGTAGGTCTCTACTTTAAAGAGTCCTCTCCTGCTGATGTTCAGGTTGTATATCAGTATGTAGTGTCTCTACTTTAAAGAGTCCTCTCCTGCTGATGTTCAGGTGTATATCAGTATGTAGTGTCTCTACTTTAAAGAGTCCTCTCCTGCTGATGTTCAGGTGTATATCAGTATGTAGTGTCTCTACTTTAAAGAGTCCTCTCCTGCTGATGTTCAGGTGTATATCAGTATGTAGTGTCTCTACTTTAAAGAGTCCTCTCCTGCTGATGTTCAGGTGTATATCAGTATGTAGTGTCTCTACTTTAAAGAGTCCTCTCCTGCTGATGTTCAGGTGTATATCAGTATGTAGTGTCTCTACTTTAAAGAGTCCTCTCCTGCTGATGTTCAGGTGTATATCAGTATGTAGTGTCTCTACTTTAAAGAGTCCTCTCCTGCTGATGTTCAGGTGTATATCAGTATGTAGTGTCTCTACTTTAAAGAGTCCTCTCCTGCTGATGTTCAGGTGTATATCAGTATGTAGTGTCTCTACTTTAAAGAGTCCTCTCCTGCTGATGTTCAGGTGTATATCAGTATGTAGTGTCTCTACTTTAAAGAGTCCTCTCCTGCTGATGTTCAGGTGTATATCAGTATGTAGTGTCTCTACTTTAAAGAGTC